TCGAATCAACGCTTATCGAAAAATACTTTGAAACTTTGACTTCTTCAACTATTTGTTTTGTAATTTTTTCTGCCATAATTTGTATAAACTCTCCGTATGTCTGTGAAGATAGATACGATGTATTACCACTACCGATTTTACCGTAATGGCGAATATGCTCTGATAGAAAGGGATCAAATTCTGCTAAAAGCTCTAATGTCATAATGAAATTACCGCTATGATACGACCCAAATTTTTCTTCACTGCCTCTCAATGGTAACCCTCGAATTACTAAAGAACGTACAGTAGCAACTATTCTTTTTAAAATATTTCGCCAATAATTGGTTTCTTGTTCTAATTGCAAAACAATTTCTTGGTTTATTTTACCTGCAGTTTTCCCCCTTTCGATTAATGCAACTGTTGAAGTTTTATGAGGAATAGAATTTTCGTGATCGTTTAATTTTCGTACAGCATTTTTCCAATCATTAAAACCAATAGTTACTAATGTTGATAAATGTGCACTTCCAAAGAGTCGACATGGTGCACAAAACACTGTACCAGTAGATTTCGAAAACACTAACCATGGTCGTGACTGTACTTCACCATTTATACGTGTTCTAACAAATAATGATTTATTTAAAAATCTATTTTTGTCAGGATACTCACGTTTAGAACATGTAAAATCATCATTTAAATTTTGATTTATTCCGTGTTTTGCCACATAATCGCGAGTTACATCATTAATAATCCATTTAGCCGGATCATTATAATCAATATAAAATGTAGCCGGATCCATATTTAAAGTAGAAGTTGTTAAATTATTAATGACCAAATCCGATTCGCACTTACTCGTTTCAATCTCTTCTAAATCATGTTGATGTTGTTGACCATTATCAGGTGCATTCAAAGAAGACGGTGTAGCAGGTTTAAAGAAAGTACTTAGTTTAGGTATTTTATTTAGAACTTTACTCTCTTTATATTCTTTATCTTTGGCTCGCTTTTTATACTCTGAACCACTAAAACGTTTACGACCGTCACTCATAGTGAAAAAATGCTAAATACTGTAAATTATTAATTATTATTTATTAAATATATTATGTTGTAATATGCACTCCCGACAATGACGAACAATAAACTGAAATGAATTGTGGTCGTGTGCGATGTGGATACACAATATCTTTAGCCAATTTCTATATATATTATATTTTTATCGTAATTACTTTTAGGAACAACTTATATTATTATATACCTAGGTAGGTATCTTATCTTTATAGCTCACATTACGAGAAAATTGATTTCGGGTTAGTGACATTTCAGTTTCATGCGCCCGTATATTTTACATACAGATATCTAAAAAAAAATCATATAAATATTTCATGCATTCATATGATTCTTTTTTTATTTCTTACAAAATTTGCCGCCCCAAAAAATTTGCCGCCCTAGGCCCGGGCCTCACGGGCCTAGGCGTAAATACGGCCCTGAGCTTCTTTACTTCCCTTAGAATCTAAAATCACACATAGTTTTACAGTAGAATATTAAACAATGCACTGTAGAAATAAGTAGTTTGAAATTTGATTTATATTTATTAAAACAAAATTTATTATTTATTTAAGATCAAGTATGTACTATATTGAATGCTTTTGAATAATTTTAACATATTTATAATGTTGTTATTTTATGGAGAGTACGTAAAATCTAAAGTTCAAGTCTTCTTTTTATCGGCACACATGCTTTGAATTCATCTATTACATCTTCAATATTGATTTCTGATGCCATCTTTTGCTCGATAAATATTAACACCAGTGAATCAAGACGTTCTTGTAACATAGTGTTTCTAAGTTTAGACTTTACAATAGACAATTTGGAAATGTCCTTCTCACACGAACAGCTTGTCACAGATATTGTTGCAAATTGTGTTAAAGCTTTATTGAAGTTTGAAAATATTGTTTTCCGGTCGTTTTCTGATAACCAATTCAGCCATACTACAATTGTTTTAGTTAATGACCCTCTAATAGAAGTTCTATCAGACATATTTGTAATGAGCTTAATTTCAGACTCAAATGTAGTATTCAAATTAAATTTTTCCTTCAACATTGAAATATCATTACTATCAAGCTTTAATTGATTTAAATTTCCTGTGGCGGTAATTAAATTTAAAGTTTCTTAACTTAATAATAAATATGGGCCCCTCACATGAAGCCGCAGACTATGCAGCGGCATACCCTGCATACCCCGTGCGCACGCCTATGGAATCACCAGTGCTAAGTATAGTAAGGTTACGAGGAGTCGTTCTTTTTCAGGTATGGTTTTCCTAAAATGTGAATCGCTTTTTGTTATCTTAGGTCCAATTAATTGAAGTAACATTTCAAAATAATTTACATTCATACGACAAAAATTTGAGAAATGAACAGCACTATTCATTTTCAAATCATTAAATAAGTCTGTTCCACTATAGCGAACACGGTTTTTAAAAATTTCATTAACCCAAAATCGGCGATTTTTTTAAATTTACGTTTTTGATTTTTTTTAACTACACTATTCATTACTACATACGCGGCACAAGCAATCATTAATTTATCATCCGTATCACTCATTTTTTAACAAAATACCATTAACCACTCAGGACGAATACGAAAATCCAACTGTGTTCAGTGTTTACGCAACTTACTTCATTCATGTACAACACGAAAATCAAATACACTAAATACTATGAGTACGGTGAACGTGTGTGCAGTATGTGATGTTTGCAAACATCACACATGATTCAAGCGCGTGAGCTGTGTGTCATGTTTTCATACTATGTGGACGCGCCTTTATGCTGTAAATGTTTATTCGATTGTTTTACCGTGCCTGAATGTACAGCCGAAGATGATTCAAATAACGCAGAATCAATTCTGACTTGGTCAATATCGACGGTCGGAACATTCTTTTTTTTAAAATTAAATATGTCAAATACATTTTTGGACATATTTAAAAAAAAAATTGAACGAAGTTAAAAAAACGAAACAACACTTAACAGTACATACGATGCAATTGACAATGGTTGAATGGCTAATGAAATAGAAATATCACTGTTGTGTGTTTCGAATTGTCAAATTTTACATTGGTATTTACTATTTCGTCTATTTTTATAACATAATTGACAATTCCAAGAAAATAATGAGATATCGTTGTCTGCGCATTGAAACCAATCATTAGATTCAACTGATATCGTTTATATATAGGTACTAATAAACTAATATACATTGATTCTTAAATATTTATTATGCTGTGCCTCTGTGCTGTATGGACTTAGGCATTTGACAATGAAATCAGAAAATATATCACATCCTACTTTTTTTTCTATAATATTCTCTAAATGTTTTATTCGTGTTCCAACAATATTTGAATTGAAAGTTAATATTTATTATTATTTATTGCAGTAACCTGCAGTGATCAATTATTTGAGGGGGCTAATTTTTCTATTTGTACGTTTTGAGGGGACGAAGACCCCTTAAGCCCCCTTAATTTCCGCCTATGCTTCTGAAAATCCTATATTATTAATTCTGGATAACCACGTACCACGTATTTTTCTTCAAACCATACGTTTTTGCCATGAACACAATTTTACTATACTTGAATTTCCTCTTAATACTACTCATAAGTTACAACTAATAGACGTTGCAGTTTTTCATCATCTAAAAACGTATTACAGTCAAACTCGTTACATATTTATGACAAATAACCCAAGAAATACTACAAATGATCGATATATTGGAAAAATATTTAGCGAAGCATATACGCGTAATGGAGCTGCTACAATAGGAAATGTAATAAAATATTTTAATGCTTGTGGAATAGAACCCTTTAGTCCAAATTTTTTTTCGGATCATGATTAATTTGCTTCTGCAGAAGTCAAAGAAAGACCAATTGAAAATATTGAAAAAATATTTGAAAAACAATATCATCCAAGTTCCAGGAATAGGACCAATAAATGAAGAGCCTACTCCTGGACCAAGGTGAATAGATATACATGTTCTTGGTATGCCAACAAAAACTTTTCCAGTAATTTGTTTTCAACAATGTTTTCAAACATTTTTTCAACCTCGACCTAGGGCAAAAATTCCAAGTTTAAAGATAAAAAACTCATCAGTCAAATCCATATAAGTAATGAAAAAAAAAATCAAAAAAATCATAAAAGAACAAAATAAAAAATAACGTCTGGAGAAAAGAAAGTTAAACTAGTTACAATTATAAAAAGAAAATAATATAAAGAATAAAAAACGAAAATTAATTTCATATTCTAAAGGATGAAAAATGATGAAGTTTCATATACAGATATCGATAGTGAAGATTTTATTAATGATGAATAGAGTGCGGATTTGTATGCAATGGCATATGTTTTTGGTTTATTGTATAATATGCTAAGTGAGCACGAAATTTGTTTATTGGCATAACGATTTAAACAATGACATTTTTTTAGTGCATATTTTCCATATTTTGTCGTTTTTAATTTTTAAGAGCTTATTTAACAATTTTAATTGCATATTTCATCTTAGAGTGCATATTTTGGTGTTAGATTGATTTTTCAACATTTCTAAAGTAATAAACTCATAACTGTTACAAAAAAATATATACATAAATATCTTTTACGAAGAAAATCTTATCGCTTTTAGATTTTGTGGGAAATCCCGTTAATCGATCTGGTGTGTCATATTTCATTTTATTGTGTGTAGTCTCGGCCCTTGGATTAATTATCTTTATCGGTGAAATAATCAAATAATATATACGAATACTCAGAAAATATCAGTTTAGGTATCAGACCAATAATATTATTTCATTCTGAAAAATATTTAGTATTAACCGTGTGTTCGTGTCTGTCGTAGTGCGAATCTTTGTGTATTATATTTTTTCAAGATGCCGAAAAAAAAATCGTCTTTATCGAGTCGTCTTCGTAGTTATGTGCGTGAATTTGGCTTGAATATTTTTTCAACCGATGGTCGAGTAATACTGTGCAAATTATGTGAAGTAAAAGTTGGCCACGATAAACGATATTCAATTACACAACATATTAAAACTGAAAAGCATTTAAAATCTGTAAGTTTGAGCCAGACTAAAAAACAAAATGTTCAAAGTTTACTCATTAATACAGTATTGAATAAAGATCCATTTTGTGTAGATTTATGCAAAGCACTGGTTTCGGCAAATATTCCGCTAAAAAAACTTAACGATACACATTTCAAATTATTTTTGGAAAAATATACTCTCAAAAAAATACCCGATGAATCAACAATTCGTAAAAATTATTTAAATGATTGTTATATTGAAACAATGAATAAAATTCGTAATAAAGTCGAAGGAAAAAAGGTGTGATTGTCAATAGACGAAACTACAGATATTGAAGGGCGATATGTCGCCAATGTCATCATCGGAACATTAGAATCTAATGGTCCAGATACAACGATGTTATTAAATTCTGAAGTTTTGAACAAGGCAAATTACTCCAATATTTCAAAACTATTTGAAAAATCTCTAAATTTATTGTGGCCTGAAGGTATACAACATGATTCTGTACTGTTATTTTTGAGTGATGCTGCGCCGTATATGGTAAAAGCAGCCGGTGCAATCAAGGCATTTTACTCTAAAATACTCCATATTACTTGCTTAGCTCATGGATTACATCTTACAGCTGAAGAAGTAAGGAAATGTTTTCCGAATGTGGACAAACTTATATCAAATGTTAAGAAAATTTTTTTAAAATCTCCTTATCGCGTTGCTTTTTTTAAAAATGAAGCACCTGGTCTGCCTTTACCGCCAAAATCGATCATCACTCGTTGGTGGACATGGCTAAACGCTGCTATATATTATTGTGAAAACATAGAACAAATTCGTAATATTGTTAAGCAGTTAAACCCAGATGATGCAATTTCAATTCAAATGTCCCAAGATGTTTTAGCGGACAAATCATTGGATACGAATTTAATATATATAAAATCTAATTTTGGATTTTTACCCGAAACAATTAAATGTCTAGAAAAATCGGGAGTTCCTTTGAATGATGCTATCACTTTGATTGAAAACACAAAAATATCTCTTAAAAAATGTAACGGACAAAAGGGTAAACCTGTTTATGAAAAATTTAAAAAAATTCTATCAAAAAACGAAGGCTTCGATACACTAAGTAAAATTTCAAAAATTTTAAATGGAGAAAGTGAATCAATTGAACTCGAAGAAGATTTATCTCCAAATGATTTGACATTTTTTAAATACGCACCAATCACTTCAATAGATGCAGAGCGGTCATTTTCGAGGTATAAAAATTTATTGACTGACAAACGTAGATCAATGTTATTTGAAAATATTGCTAAAATAATTGTTATACAGTGCAATTCAAATTTAGGTAGGTACCTGAGTAAATTTCTTTTGAGATACATTTTTAATATTATTGATTCCGATTTTTTCTTATATATTAAAACTCAAAAAAATGGACAGGAAATCAAGATTCAAGAAATTAAAAAAAAATTATTTTTACAACAAATGTAATCATTTAAATTAATTATTATAATAATAATTTATTATTATTTTATGCAAAATACATGTAATTTTTGGTGCATATTTTTTTTATGCATGCATATTTAAACATTTTAGTGCATATATTAATGCATATTTAAGATTTTTTAACGCATGTTTAGTAGATTTTTAAGACATATAAATCCGCGCTCTAATGATGAAGAACGTATTTTTTCTAAAGCGCTCTACAGTCATGATTTAAAAGGTAAAGCGTAGATAAGATGTGTCAATTGTGTAAGGTAGGCTCACGAATTGTGTGCAAGAGTTGAATGTTGGAAAATATTTACATGTGAGCTTAATATATTGCGAACAGAAAATATTCATAAGTTGATTCTTATACAATTTTATTGTTTTATTCGGTTTTTAGTCTACTGAAGTTTACTTACCAAATTATGTGACAAAAATAATTATTTTACTAAGAATTTTCATTGATTAAAGGTTAAAATGTATTAATTTTATTTAATTTTAATTTTATTATTTATGTTTCTAACTAAAATGGTTTTGATATACAAGTATATATATATACTAAAGGGATAAGACACAAGGGTGGTGCGAAGGGGTTATATTTGAATCACGTGATTCATGAAAAAATGGCAGTGGGTGGTCTTTGAAAAACAAGAAAATAATTATTATGGTAAAATGCTCATACATTGAACACGTTATATTTATAAAATAAAATGACAAATACAGAACTATAAATTATAAATTATAAATATGAACATTTATAGAGGCAGTGCATTTATGACCGTTTAAAATTATGCAGTGTAAATAATTTTGGAAGATGATCCTATGAAATCGGTGATTCGAGTAGAAAAAACTTCTCACCACCACTGATACAGTGTATATGCACACATACTAGTTAAATATAATAAAAACAATAATTCATCGACAAATTATTTTTTTTTTTTTTAATTAACTTGCTTTTTATTAGAAATAATTACAGCAAAGCGATTACAATATGATGATATGTTTAAAAAATTAAAAAATTAATAAAATATACAAACAACAATGAACTACATATTGACTTTAAATAAGTTTATTACGTTATGTTGTCTTACTTCTATATTAGAATTAATCATACCATAAATTTAAAATTTAACAAATATATAATGTATTTATTTTATTAACACAAAGTCCCAAATCTCTGGGGAATAAATAATACATGTATACATATAATAATAATATTTTAAATGTATACAATTAAAAAAACTAGTAAATATATTGTAAATTAATATCCACGAACAGTTTTGATGTGTTTTATATATTTTAATGCTTTTTGCATTAAAGGAGCTTTTTTCTTTGTGACTGTAATAAAAATAAAAAATTAACAAAAATTAACTTATTTTGTATTCTTATATACAATTGCTATCAGATTTAGACAATATCAAAAAAAATTATTTTTAAGTGGCTTTTTTAAGACTCTAATCATAGAAAAAATGTTATAGTTATTAAACATTTCAAATAGTAATAAGTGATCCGACTTTATTACTATTTAGCTTTTTTAAACAATCAAAATTAAAAGAAAAAAAGGACATTTTAAAATATTAGAATTTAAATTGTACATACTTGCAGAAGATGATTTACGACACTTTTTGGGTACACAAATAGCCGTTTTAAAATATCCTGAATCAGAATCAGAAGATTCGGATTGATTATTGGAATTTATTGGTATTGCTGATTTTTCCATTATATTTTTTTGTTTTTGTCTCGCCTCTGTTGCTGTATAGAATTTTTTAAGATTAAATAAAGTTTTTAATTATTTAATTCTGATTTTACTTTATTAATTTATTATATACTAGCTGACCTGATACGGCGTTTCCCGTATGTTAGTTTATTTTTTAGCATTTTCGTAGGCCATGTATCAGTGTTAATTTGTGTTAATATTACATGAAATTCACAATTTAATTGTGTGTGTGTGTGTGTGTGTGTGTGTGTGTGTGTGTGTGTAGTACTATTAGATTCGTTGATAACATATATTTATATATTAATATTATTATTTTTTTATTATTATTAAAGCACCTCCTTATAGACTACATTGGTTGTTCTTCCATTTGGGGTAAGAATGACTGAGCTTGTAGGTGAACTAACTCTGGAGCGTGCCACATAAAATTGCCCATGTGTAAAATCAGTCATAACTCAAGTCAATCTTTGCTATCTTTAAATGTATATATATAGTAGCTATATTAAATGTAAACAAACTTTTAAAAAACCCCTATTACCCCCTTAAAGGTCGAATTTTGAAAAATCCTTTCTTAATACGCCTCCACATTGCTTGTAGTAACCTCTGTACAAAGTCTCTAGACCCAGAAACTTGGTTTGGGCGTTGATGAATGAATAGGAGCGGTCTCCTATATGTATATAGATTATCTCTGATTTCTAATGATTATATATTTCTTAAAGGTGTATTTATTGCATTAAAAATATGAATATTATATTCTAAAGCAGGGGTTTTAGCAAGTAATTTTTATTAGAGTCCAAAAGATTAAAATAATAAATTAAGTCCAGAAAAAAAAATGTACGGGACAACCATAATTTGAGTTGGATAAATCAAAATATTAATTTTTTTTTACTGGCAATTATAAAAATTATTTAAAAATGTAATTAATGAATTTAAGTAAGATATGTTTACGGTCCATTTATCTTTGTCTATGGTTCAATAATTTCCGACGGTTGCTATACAGTCTCAAATACAAAAAATAAAATAGAAGATTTTAAAATATTAGTATATAAATAATTTTACATACTCGCAGACGATAAATTACGTTGACAATTATTGGGTACTCGAATGACCATTTTCAGTGATTTTGTACCAGGGTTAACGAATTGGCATTGAACGTTAGAATTTCCTTGGATCACTGATTTTTCTAATATGTCAGGTTCTCCTGCTGCAGCTATATGAAATTTAGCCTATGACAATAAAATAATTAATGTACCATAAATTAGTGGAGTATAATTACTTAACGCTTTGATTATAATTAATGATTACACATCAGTGTACCGGTTTTTCGGTGATTCCACAAATATCATTGCGCGTTAATTCTATTTTTTTAACGGCGATCTGTTTTTCATTGATTTGAAATTTTTTGGGTACACGGAAGACCATTTTAAGAGATCTTGTACCAGGATTGGAAAACTGGCATTGAGCATCGACATTTCCTGGTACTACTGATTCTTCTAATACATTAGGTTTTGCTCCTGTAGCTTTATGGAATTTTGTCTACAACAAAAACGGATATACCCTATATTGTCTTGCAATGTACTCACGGAAAGTAAATTAAAAACTGTATAGCGTTTAATACTAAATATTTTTTTTATTATAAATTATTATAAATCAATATACCCGTTTTCCGGCAGTCTCGCAAGTATCATTATGTACTAATTTTCTTTTTCCAACAAAATTTGTCGCGGCCTGTTTTTCATCAATTTTCTGTTGGAATTGAATTAATTTTGTTTCGCGTTTCTCTAGACACCGCTAATAATTAAAGACAATATGATGAAATATAAAAAAAATATTTAAGAAAATGTCCAACAATTTCATATTTGGTCAAACTGAATTGTTTAGATTTAAAGCGGCTTTTTTTTTTTTTACATCAAATAGTATGTTTAAACGAAATGGTATTCAAAACTTCTATACAAATTTATATTATAATTTTATGGAGGTTGAAATATACAAAGGCCCGTAATACAATAACTGATACAATGGTGCATACAATCCAAAAAAGTTCAGAATGGCAGCATATGGTTGTCTCCGTACGCACGCCTATGCTAATGGATTCTCCCGATTAGGTATCCGAATACCAATTATACAAAATAAAAGGTTATATATAATTTGACAATGCAAGAATAGTAAATTAACGAGTTCCTATTCTTTAACCTACCATAAACGTACTTTGTAATTGTTGATGTTTCTACTATATTAATTTAAAGTATGCATTCTTATTACCTTCATGTTTGAATGTATAGTTCTCTAATTCTTTGAAATATTAATTTGTTTTTATAACAATATTACCGTAATAACTTTCGAGTATTACAAATCTGAAATCACAGTCTTGGTTGGTTGTTAAAAAACTAGTTACATAAGTGCTGTGATTGTTTTAAAAAAACGAAGTATTATAACTATTGTTGTTAATCAAATCTATAGCAACATAAATATTGGTATTAATAAAATGTATACAAATCTTATAATTTCAATAACAAATCTTTATATTATATGCATATATATTACCTAAAAATAGTAAAATGTAGACAAATTTAACATAACTTAACGAATACATAGATCAAAATGGTCATTGTAAAACTAGTTACTAAAAATATATATATAGGTATAAGTTCATATATACAATGTAATACGATAAACATAAGAACAATATTAATTTATATTACCTATTTATCGAAAAATTATTGATTTATTTTATAAGAGGACCATTTTTATGATTACTCGCATTTAGTTTAATAAATATTTGAGGAATGCTAAATAAAAACAAAGTTTATATAGTAAATTTATAAATCTATATTAAGGACAAATAGGATGAAACATTTTTTAATTCAAACAAAAAATGAAACTAAAATAAGAAAAATTGTCAATAGAACCAAAATGTAGAATAATTATAAATTATTTTTGCCAACAGGCTGTTGGAAAAAAGATTTAGAATTTTTGACGTAATTATTTAATTAAAGGCTAAAAACTAGAAAATATTTATATAAATCGACCGGTATGTATTTAACGGCAGTATGCTTAAAATGTTTCAATACTTCGATTACAGAGAATTTGGAATAATAGTATAACCAAGGGCGTTTTTAGACTTACTTCTATGTGGGGGGGGAGTCAAATATTTTTTTTAATTTAGGCTCAATATTTACAAGACAAATTTTTGGTAAATCAGGTGAATCCTTAATATTTGTGAATTTTTTTTTTTTTTTTTATCTAATGCTGGTCCACTTAGAATCGACTTTTGTGTAGTTCTTTTTTAAATTAAAATAAAAAAAATTTGTAATGTATATATCACATACTCGTATAATCGATTCCTTAAATACGGATTCAGGGGGGCAATCGCCCTCTTCGCCCCACCCCTAAAATACGCCCCTGAGTATAACATGATCTTGTTCGACATCATACAATTATGTTTCAATCATTCAATTGTATAATACGCGATGGGATGGTATCTATGAAAATAATTAAAAAATTATATCACATGTTTCAATTGTAACAAGTACTATAAAAAAAATGTCTTCAAATTATCAGTGTCATATTTCAGATATTTATGAGCGAACTTAAATCAAACTATTAATTTGAGTTTAAGTTCGATTTTTTATTATATTTGTTGTTTTATTTTAATATATTTTAATTCAAATAACTAGTTTCTTTAAAAGTGGTTACCTATTTATATGTTCGTTATAAAATATTACTCACTCTATTTTTCTAGAAAATAAAAGTTGTGTTTAATAATATAGATCAATATTACATTTAGCCATTGAATCATAATTCATTCTTAATGTAGTTATTTTTTAAACAAAAGCTCAGTTACTTCAATTATCTTTCAATCACTGAAAAGTTTTCCCATACTGACAAAAGTTTAAATGTTCAGTCAATATTGATATTATGGGTTATTTTATATAATTACTATTGAGTTTACAAAATAAACAATGGATCTCATGCAATCAATTGAATTGCACCTTTTTATTGACAATGTAAAAAATTAATTTTAATTTTGACTTTTGTTTGCGTAGATAATTGTCAATTAATATGTAATTTACAATTTTGTCGAACTGATACTAATGTATTACTAAATATATATTTCGTTAATTTAACTATTGCAAGTTTCGGAGGTGTTAGGGAGGTGCATATACTGCGTATTGCCTATACATAGAGGCCTATCCTTTTACATATACAGTTTAAAGGGGAGGTGATCCAGAACCTACCAAATCATCCTACTTCTATCGTCTCATCTATAGAAACTAGAGATGTGTCGTTCACGAACGACCTAGTTCAATTGAACTATACATCCAAGTAATCGATTCGAACTAGTTCACTAGTTCACTTTTAAATCGTTCATCGTTCATTTGATCAAAGCCACAATATGGTAAATAATTTCGTTCATTGATAAGAATTAACGACATGAAAATAAAATAAAATTTAAACTTTATTTTTATTATTTCCTTAATAATTTACTGTATAGTATATAATATTAAGTAAACTCATTTTTTGAAACATTTATTTATTTATTTTTTGAACCACGAATCACAATTATTAATTTCTTCCAAATTGTGGTTTTTAAATATTTAGCTGAAAGATGACTGTACCATGTAGCCAAATATTAAACTTATAGTTTAAGTATTTCAGTAAAAGCAAATTCTGTGGTAAATTTATTAAAATAATTATGTAACTGGTGAGCTGAGAAGTATAAGTTGCAGATTTTATTATATTATAAAATTGTAAGGAAATCTGATTATAATAATATGTACTAAATTGTATAAAACTAAAGTAATAGTTATAATTGAGATTTATTTACCCTAAATTTTAGACATCAAGTGTCCAAAGTATAAGGTCAGATCTGGAAAACACCAGAATTACATATATGATTAAACTATTTAATTTTAACAACTTATCGGTAGAAGAAAAATGAATTATTATTATTCTATACAAAACATAACATTCAACAGTAAATAGCTGATTAATTGGATGCAACATAACACTTAAATCGTTTACAATAACACTATAACTATTAGTTATTATATTTAGTTCTTTAGTTACAATTAATATTTTTAAAAATTAGTAATTCATAAAGGTAAAATAAAGTAACTTATACTTTTCTTTATTTTATATGGAGATACCTGGTATCAAATTATTTATTTTTAACATTTATTTACATAAAAAAAAAAATACATATAAATATTTAAAACATTGTATTAATCTGATTCTTCTTCTTCTTTTTCTTCTCATAAATTAATATAATAATACAGTTAATAAAAATACAATTAAAAATAACAAACATTAACTTACAAATTTTGTATCTTTGTGTTTGAAACCAATATAATATTTTTTAAAGTTTTTAAAGCATATTTTTTTTATAATAATCTCATATCAAAACTGCAAAAAATACATTATATTCTATAGTTTGAACCAGTTAATTTACTTCTAACCAAACATTCCATATTGAAATTGTTATATTTATTCTTATAAAATTTATTTAATAGTTGTAATTAAACAATAAAATTAGCAAAAATGTATTAATTGCATACATAAAGCTTAACAAATACACTTTTATGTCTTCAAATCATAATAGACATCTATCACAGACAATTATTTTTATGCGTTAATAATAAAATAAAGTAAAAAATATTAACGACTATAATTTCCAATAAGTAATAGGTAGGGATTAAGAAAATTCATATTTTAAAACATTTATCACTAAATGAAGGATTATCAAACATAAATAAATAATATAAAGTATAATATAATTTAAAAGAATATCTTAAGAGATGTTAAAAAAGTTGTATGAAATTAGTCGTAGATCCATCTCGCCATGCTGGGTCATCAACGAGTTTTGCCCGACACAATGGACATGTTTGTTCGCGATCAAACCATTTAGCCACACAAGCTTCACAAAATATGTGGTGGCACTGCAATAATACAGGTGTAGCATATTCATCATGACATATAGGACAATTGCTACCAGCTATTGTCAGCTGTTCTTTGCTTGGCACTGTTCCCAATGCCTAAAAATTGAATCAAACATTTTAATTTATAACTTAAGATAAAATACAAAATTCAACAAATATATATATATATATATATATATATATATATATTATAATAACAATGGTAAATATAATGATATCATGGCTGAGTGGAATAAATCAGCTATAACTAAATGCATAGTTGCTGGGTAGAAAAAAAAATTACAGGTATAGTTCAATGTATTATAATAAATATAGGGAAACTATAATAAAATTACTATTCTATTAATTAGTGATGAGTCGAACTATTCGAATGTCGAACCGAACCAAACACTAGGTGTTTGTTTTGATTCATAATCTGAACTCAAAATGAAAGAAAATCGAACCGAACTATTTACCATTTAGGCATGTTCAAAATTTGAACTTGAAAATATTCTTAATCAAACAATCTAAAATTAATTTTCTATAATTTATAGTTTATAGTATCATAATAGTATTAAATATTTTTTTTATATTATTACTAATAGGTATGATAAAATAAAAAAATTCCATGTTGAAACACGTGATTATTTTTGTAAATATCTATAGATAATAATATTACAGATTATTTTTCTTATTTTTATATGATGTGCGATCATAATATGATCAAAACCACAAATCTATTTTTGAAAAAGTAAAAAAGAAAAATATATATGTTGTTTATTCTCTATATTTTTAGGTGTATTATATTTTGCACAACGTATGTAAAATTTTCATAATTTTAATCCATTTATAAAAGGAAAAAAATGTTTAGTTCAAATTTTAGTTTGATAAAAAATTATAATAGTATGGTTTGGGTTTATAATACTTTGATAATATTTGATTTGACACCGAAAAATCAGCACCCATTACTTCTATTAACACAAAATATATATCCTACCAAGTTATTTTAATAAAAACTATACGTTTAATAATTCTTTTATTATAATGTTAGGAAACAATATTAGTGTAATTATAACTATTTGAAACTATTTTATGTACATATTTGTTGTATGATGCATATATATTTAATGTAAATTATAGTTTCATAATATGTTTGTGAACAATTAATGTATATTGTATAAATATTTCAAATTTCAATAGTTTTTAATATATAATTAGGATTCGGTAATTAATTTTTTTTCCCCAAAATTGTAATTATCTTTATAATAACTCTGGGTTAGACTCAAAACAATTTTCATAAGAAAGGTCAAGTATTGTTTATAAAATAAAATACAAATATAATTCAATGTATATAGATGAAAATGAAACTTACAACATTTTGAAGTAATTTATATGAAGCCGTCCACCAGAGTTTCACACAACTCATTAAATCAGTGCCCTTAGACACCATGTAAGCGGCAGATAAAAAAACACCAATGACCTTTTTTGGACCCTGATACGATTCTAACATATAATACAACCATGGTTGAATAGGTACACAACACCGATATAATTGAGATGTAGCTTCAATAAAAAGGTATACTTTTCCCTAAATAAAAATGTGAGTTAAGATATAATTTTTTAAAGCAATAATATAAAAACAAACATACTCGTTTAATTATTGGTAAAAACCTTATTGGCATCATGATAACAATTATTTTAAAAATTATTGTTATTAATTTTAATATATAATCATCTACTGCTATTGACCACAATAGATTGCTTATTGTTGGCTGTGTGTTTGGAGGAATAAATATCAACCTGAAAATATGCATACAATTTTATAATTTTGTTATTAACATCAAAATTTCTATTATTTATGGATAGTCTATAATTAAAATTTATAATTACCCAAAATGTAAGTTCATATCATTGTAGAAATAGTAAAACAAAAACACAGACATAACCATATGACAAATAGCAAACAGCAAAAAGCCAATGCTGCGCTGTGATTGTTTTGCTACTTCTCGTTTAACTACGCTGTTGAAATAACGAAAAGAAATAAAGAGCACCAAAAAGAGCAGAATTGCTGTAAACACAAAATACATACAAGCACGTTCGTTAGTCGAACCTTGAGGCCATATCTTTTTTTTAGTTAAAACCAAATAATTGAGCAGAAAATCTGTTTAATTTACCTGGAATATGATCAAATACGGCTTTTGATAAAAGTATCAATAAAAATGGAATGTATTTAAGAGAAATACTCATCATTTGAGCGATTTCAGGGTTGTGTCGAAGAACATCATCTTCACTTTCTGAAAACAATGAAACATATTTTATTATTTTAAATAAATAACATTTTATATATTTATAAATTAACTAACTCTAAAATGAACAAGCGGTAAGGACAGGAGAAACCATATGGTAAAGAGAAGTATTTAAAAAATTAACTAATGATAAAATGTAACAATATATTATGAATATAAATAAATTTTGTATCTTAGTAAGCTCATGAATGTCTAAAAATATATAATATTCATTATTTCAAAATAATTAAATAGAAATAAATATTTAGAATGTAAATGAGTGAAGCAGTGCACCAAAATGTTATGTTTGTATCCCACTATTATTACTTCATCTTCACTTATGTATAAATAGAAAAATAACCAACAATATAATTTTTTTTTAAACTTTTAATACATTTTTGTCGACTATATCAATAAATACACTCATATTAAAATAAAATGTTTTTTTTTTTTTTTTAATTTTTTTAAATACAGTTTTAATCGCAAACTAGACATGTTATTACATTGATGACATTCATTGTTTCAAATCCAATAACGATAATATATAGGGAAAAAAAATTATAAATAGAGTCTATAAACATTAACATATGTTAGCCCTGGTCACAAATGGGCTAATATACATTATATTATATTACATTATATTATAATTACATTATACTATCATTATATTCATTAAAATATAAATAAATATATACCTTTGTATTTAATGAAAATATGAAAACAATAAACCAACCAACACTACTCTAGTTTCACAAACTCAATCTCTCTAGGAAAAATATAATATTGTTCTCTTGTCACTGCTTTGATCACACACTACCTTCTTATTTCTTTAAACTTTCTTTAAATGATTCCCCCCTTTAAACACTTCATAATGATCTTATGATTGTGATATTAATCACTTACTCTTTTTACCATATTGCCGCCAACTTTTGTCTATTTTCAATACTCTAAAATTCCATTTAATATCCAAAAAAAAATTTTCAAATCAAAAAAAAATTATTCTTAATATTCTACATTTTTTAATCATACTTTTTAATTTAACTGCACATTTCTTTATTTTTATGAACAATGCCTGTTTTTTATTTTATTTTTCTCCTGTTATATTATAACCCTATGACTTCCATTACCTAATTGTCAAAACTAATTATAAATACAGTTTTAAATATTATTGAGTAAATTATATTAGGTACTTTGTTTTATTTTTGGTATTCCATAGATTAATAATTATTAGGGATAGTATAAACATACATTTATAAGACAATGACAATAAAAATGTATATATTTAATTAAATGTATGAACTAATTAAGTAAAATAATTTCAGATTATTTTAAAATAAATGTCTAAATAATTAAAATAAGTATTAGAACAAAATTACATATGTAATTTTATATTAATTATTTTAATTTAAAAATATTTAATACTTTCTAACAAATTATCTCAAATATTTAATAAGTAATTTATACATTGTGGTTAACATCATAATAATTTTCAAAATATACATGTTTTAATAACCCAATATATAAAAAGAAGTAATACAATATGACCTTAGAATTTTTGGTATTTTGTCCCAATTAAAAGTATTCAAACTATTAAATAAAAACCCTATTATATTGAATAACTTACATGTAAACTTAATAAAAACCAATCAATTACTTACGGTTTTCATTATTGTTGTTATTAGATTCATTAGGTGAAGAACCTCCTGGACTTGAAGGTAATTGTTCAACATTTAAATCAGAACTTGATAAATTCATATCTATAGCTACATCATTATTTGGATTTGATAATGATCTTTGAGTAGTTAAAGGCAGTCTTTGTGATACAGGAGTTGTTGAGACTGGTCTAACTTCTCCTACAGATATCAATAGATGAAGTTATAAGAAATTATTCTTACTAAGATTACATTTATATGATTACCTGTAGCTATTGGATTCCGGTCTTCTGTTTCAGAAGAACTGGGTGGTGAGAGAGGTAAGTGAGCACTGTTCGAATTTAAATTCAACCAGGTAGGTAAGCTTAGGCGTACAGATGAACTGGGCCCAAGTGGTTGAGGTGATCCAGGATCAGGGTGTCGTGCGACTGTTATAATTGGTCGCAATTCTTCGACTACATTGTGTACATTACTACGAAACATAGCAGAACTTTCAGCAGCTCTACGCTCTAAGTGCATCATAAGATCAGCAGCAAGACTCATACGACGACTGGGTACTGGTACTGCTGCTCGACTATCTGTTTCCGATTTGTGAGTAAAAAAATATTTGTAAAATATAAAATAAACTAAATAAATTACTATTACCATTTTCAGGAAGTGTTCCATGATCATCAATTATGGTGGACATTGTCGAAACATAAGATCTTAACAATCGTGAGGTGTATTACTTCATCAAAATCATATGCTTGTGATGTTATAACTCATAACGTAACACACAATAAAGTTAAATGAAGGTGCAACAATGTAAATTTAATATCTGTATAAAATCAATGTAAAAATTGAAAACTCAACACATTAAGTTCTTCGTGAAAAGTAAGTAAGTGTATGACATCATTATTACATATTATTTCTTATCATTAATTAGTCATGTTTACTAATTTTCCATATGTTTTTGATACATTTTTATCAATCAAGGTCATTTATATGAAAATATAAGAACTTTAATTACCAACTATTCAACTTTTTTTTTTTTTATTATAATTTTAATTTTAAATGCACATACACGTAAATATATTATAACAATATAATAACCTTGTTATATAATTAACCTTGATAATTTTAAATAACTACCCCATTCTTTTTTTTATAGGTAGGTTCCTGATCAAACACAAAAATTAAAGACGTATAAATTTCAACTTCACTTTATAATTAACTAACTTTACAAATTTTTTACAATCCTTCGACCTCTATCACAATAATTCAAAATACATATTTTTACTGGTGGTCGGAATATTGGTACGGTTTATAGAATTTAAAACAAAAAATAAATAAATAATAACACGGAATATTGGTAATCTTCAAAATTTAATTTCAAAGATCTTAAAATATTTATTATATGTATATATTTTTAATAAATCACCGTTCATCAACTAGTTGAATTTAAATAATATATTAAAAATAAATAAATAAATAAATGTCGTTATATTATATAAAAATGTTTATATTTTAATATATTTTTTTAAGTAACTCTCACATTTTTTGTGTAATTTGTCCAACAAAGTATTTATTTTTTTTGAATTTAGGCGTTTAGTATCGTGTATACTTGATTTAAAACAGGTTTACCTAACCAGCGTTGTTGCTTAATTTTGTTCAGTGCTCCCTTTGATATTTAACATACCTTGTTTTAAAATAAGTACAAAACAGCTGGTTATAGCAATTACTATACAGTTCTTTTCTTTAAATCTTAATTTGCAACTGTAGCTTATCTAACATAATATTAGATAATGAATAATGAATAATTTTATATAATAATATGTAGATAGAAAAGTAGCGTTTTTGTTTAAGATATAAAATATCAAACATTTTTGTCTTTAATTTATTCGAGTTTATATATTTATGTTTAATTTATTTCTTTACTTAGTAATATTGATCACCTTCTGCTAATATACAACAAAAGGTAATGTTAATATATATTTTTAAGTAAGTAATGTAAGATTAACTATATAGACTAGTTGATATGTAATTGTATATTTGCTCCCCCCCTCTAATAAATTTCCAAGTTACGCCTATGTATACACTAAATTAACAACTAAAATTATGGATTATTTGTATCAACAAATGTATTAAAATAGCTATTCCATCCTTCACAAAAATTTTTCTGTTGCCATGATTTAAAGTGATTTCCAAAGATATAGGGAAAATATCGGGCTCCCTGACTTCCCACTATTATACGTTTCGTTAAAATATTTTAGTTATTGTAAAAATTGTTCAGGTGCCCTTGTATAAAAATAAATCATTCCATGCATTACTTCATAAAGTGGTAAAAATTCTAAAGCGTTAACCACACCGTAACTTATTCTAAAATGTATGTTATTTCTATAGTCTACTTATACATTAAAAAAACATATACCTAATTTTTGAGCTTTTTACCATGTAGATTGGGTGAAATTGACTTAAAATATTATGAGTTTTATTTTTATATTTTAGGAAACCTTGACTATTAAGAATCATACCAGTATTCCATTTACCATTTTTACTATAATAAATAATTAAAATAAATTATAATTGAATTATTAATCATTATAAGTATAGCAATAAAGATACAATTTATATTTCTGGGCATAAAGTTTAACAAACTATTACAGAATTTTATGATCAATACGAAATTATTGAAAGTATCAATGAGTTTAGGTATTGAATCTTTTATCAATATAGTAGGTATACATTTACGTAATATTACTCTAGAGTACATAGTCCACATAGTACATAGCTTTTTGAGGATTTCAAAATATTATCTAAACCAAAATTGATTTGATTATTCAATAAATATTTTAATTTACGACAACATACTCAAACACTGAATTAATAAAATCTTTTAATGTTTCAGTAATAATAATAGGCAACTAAATCGTCAACTACTTGAAAGTAAGTATACAGTACTGCAATACATGTACATATTACGTAGAAACAATGTATGTTATTTATTTATATATATTAATTATTTTTACTAGATGATCGTGTGTCTTAAATTCTCAACTAAGAAATCAGAAATTATTTAATCCTGTTGAAAATAATTAAAATTGTGAACTACACTAAGCATAAATTATAAAATAAGAATCATCATTCATCTATAATGATCGTCTATTATTCAGCCACAAAATTTGTTGAGTGGAAAACGAATAAAAAATGAATAATACATTTAGAATTAAATATTAGTAAATACTCATAAATTAATATATAAATAAATAAACAAATATTATATACATAGAAATAAATAAATAAATGCTTAGCCTGGAGTATTATTGTAAAGTACGACCGTTTTCGAATTAAAAATTCGTCAGGTATATACAAAGTCAATAAAATAGCAACTAAGGCTAAGCATTTATTTATTTTTATATATATAAACGATTTGTTTGAAAATGTTATCAATTATAATATTTCATAGATAACTATGATTGTATTAAATTATTACCAATTGTAGTAATATTACAAGTCTTTATATTTAAGTGTTTTTAACCTTGTCGCGTAATATTTTTAGAAGTATTATAATACATTTATATATTTCCGTTTAAAACAAGCATTTAGATTATAATGGTAAACTGTGAAATGTATATAAATGATATAAACGAAAAAAAAAACAATATAACGGTTAAACGGTAAAAATGTAAAATAATGCGTTAGAAAATATAATTAAAAATGCGAAACAACCGAAAGAATGTAATCAAAGTGGTTCCTAATAAATAACTTATTGTTTGAACATTATTTAGTCTTATGGTATACCATAAAATAGTATAACTCTATGTAGTATACCGATTAATAATCAAATAATCAAATAAATTGAACTATGGTATATGGGTTGTAACGGCTATACGTAATTTGTAACAAACTATCACTCTTTGGCCGCCACCGAATATACATATAGTTTTATCACGATTAATGTCTAATACTCTGATACTTAGTGATATAATAGATAGGTAGGCGTTTATATTACGTTCATAGAAGTATGTAATATTCGTATTTAATATAAAAATATAACACATTTACATTAAACAAAAAATATATACTCTCGTATAATGTAATATGATTAATATATGAATTACATCATATTATGTTTATCATCGCGCGCAGCGTAAAGGTTAAACCGCATATATTGGCCGCTATGAATAACAATAGGTAACAGAAATTCAGAAATCCCTATATTGAAATGCTTTAATCTTCGGTAAGAATCTAACAAAATAATCAAGATAGATTTAAGAACTAAGGTTTAAGCTCCTGTGGTTTACGCATATATGAGACTTTAAGTAATTGAGACTAGATACGGTGATATATGATGGTAATATGATATTATAATACAGTACAACTGTTGAAGTTTTATCAATGAGCTATGTCTAAAAAAGAACAAATTAGATTTTGTATTATACTGAATGTAAAATATGACAAGGGTGACTAATCCTAAATAGTTAGGTAAAAAGCGAAGGAGAAGAAAAAGAAGAAGAAGAAGTGAATGTAAAATAAAAATATGTTTTTATAGTACAACATTTGGTTAGATATTTTTTATGCCACATATTATGCTTTATTGGTTGCTATTATTTGTTTAATATAATTTAATCAATCAGTGTATGTAATAATAATATAAATCTCCACGATTTTTAAAAATATGGCGATAGATCTAGACGTATCTGGGGGTGGCATTGGAGGAGTTAACCCTCCCAGTGCGAATATTAGTCCCCCAGAATAATTTTTCGCTTATTTCGTTCAAGTTGTTCTCATTATATTGAACTAGTGGCAAATAATAATAATACTTAAATTATTAAGCAGGTTTTATTAATATATTTTTAAATGATCCCTTCCTTTATCAATACTTTTTTAGTAGTTGCCTTGATGTCCTAAGATCCTTAAGTTTGACACTGAATATATCAGTAATTTATGATTCACTTTATCTCTCACAAAATATGTTTAATGGTTTTAAATTTAGATTAATATTACTGTCCATTTCGAGTAAACTCCACGTCAAATTCAAATTTTTTTTAAAAAATCCTTATCGCATAATTATATCGATTAATACGTTGCAAATAGAAAACTTCTAAAAATTTCTATCAACATTTTGTGCATAGTTTTTATCTATAATCTACAAGTTGTAAATTATTACAATGGGTACATGTAAGATAGATATAGATCGCATACTAATACCGCTTCCAATCTCCTAGTAAATAGATTAGAGGAATTAAAAAATTGAGAAAGTTGGTTGTTACAAATAAATAATTAAAACATTAATTTTTGAAAAATCAACAAAAAATTTTTTGGGAGCTAAAAACAATATTGATGGTATTTTTTTTAATAATTTTGTAATAATATTGTTCAATTTGAATTTCATTATTTTAAGGTCTATAACAGCGGCTCTCAAATTTTTGGAATCACGTCTCTTATGAATAAATAAAACAACAATTTTTATTATTTAAATATAAGCAAATTATTGTTGATCTAAATTTAAATATATGATAATGTAATATACAATATAAATGTTTGCTTTGCGTCTCCCCCAATAAATGTGTTTTTTAAGAATGACGTGCCTCACAGTTGGGGAACTGCTGTCCTAGAATATACAATTCAAGCTCGTATAAGTTCAGTGATTCAAAACAATTCTTATTTATCTGCTTAAAGTAAATAAAAAAATGTAATAGACTATGCTTAATTTGTTTTAATTTTATATTATGATCCAATACGATGATTCGTATCCCATAACTAAAACTTAATTATATAATTGAATAAGAAAGTGTGCTAAGAATTCTAAATTTGAAAAATAGATTTAAAATTAATAATAAAAATTAGTAGAATAGTAATTTAAAGTTTGTAAAAGTATTTAGTTTAAAAACTAATTTATAATTAACAGTTATTAGATTTATATGTATAAAATCAATTATCTATGAATATTTTTACACAAATAAATCCAATTAAGTTTAAAAATTATATCTTTGTTATCACTCTTGTTAGCAAAATATAAAAAAATGAATTAAAGTATAATGATAAGCAAACTATTTATAAATTTGTAGGTCATTAATAATAATTCGCAATTAAATCTAAAATTATTATTTATTTCAATGTTTTGATTTTAATTAACGTTTGAAAGATTTCATTAAAAATGGATATATCTATGTGAAAATGTATCAAATTGATTATTGATAATCGTTTTTTTATTCAGCTAACGTTAGTTGACGCTATAATGTTTGTATGATATAAAAGTTAATTTGCTATATTTAACTTTTTAAGTGGCCTAAATATGTAAATACATATTTTGTGTTAAAATGTTGGCACTAAGTTATTTTTCAGTAAGCCAATATTAATAAAAAGCTTGACATTTTGGGATAGTATAAGCAGTGAACAGTATAACATATATTGTTACTAACAGGTTGTAAAAATATGGAAATATAGACAATTTTTAAAACTTTAGCCATCATTGTAAGAAATTATAAGAGAAACTAAATGAAGTAAAAAATATTAAATGGAACTCCCATTTTTTTATCACCATACGTTATAACCATATGTTTAATAATTTTAAAATAATTGTATTTAGAGAAACTTTTTTTGTAACTTTTTAATTTAGCCTGAAATTTAAAATCGAATGTGGTATGACTAAGTTGTGACTATTATTTTAGTTTTATACTTAAATATTATAATTTATGATTACTAGTTCTGGTACTAAATACTAATTGATAGGTTAAAAATATCAGTCGATTAACAATATGACATTGATAACATTGAGACATAAATCACATTAAAACAGATTTTTGACAACTGAATACAGACTACATAAAGATACAAAAATTGGATTTTATTTTTCTTTTCGATTTGAATTCTTTATTTAATTCATGCACTAAACTGTTTTGAAGGATAATTAGAATTCAAAGAATCAATGTACTCGTATATTAGCAATTCTATATTAATATATGCATTTACATATACAAAAACGAGTGAGCGTACATATTGTTGATTCTTGTTCAGCGCCGTTGGAAGGACAGGGCAGAAGGAGCCGCTGCCCGAGACCTCACCATTTTAGGGGGCCGCTCCTTTTATTGAATTTAGTAGTTTATAAGCCTACCATAAAATATTGTTTTTAAAATTAAATAACACGTTTCCTTTTCATATGGAAATATATATGGTATTATATTCTTTAACTTTGATACTATGTTTAATAGGTACCTTTATTGTAGTATAAATAGTATAATAATAATAAATTAATAAACAATAATATACCTATTGTTGAAACTTTAATGGGAGTTTATTAATTCCGCCGTTTACGGTTCATATTTTTAAAAATGAATATTAAATTCCATTATCATATTTCTTATTGTCAGATAAAAGCACAAATACATACGCTACCGCATTTAGATGTATTATTAAATCATGCTCAGCTCAAAATTTATATTTCAATCGAACTACAATTGTTGCTGATTAATAATCAGTGATTATTATATATATTATTATTATTTATTCTATAAAATGATGTTTTTTTTCTTATTTAACTTCGTGCCACTACCGTCGTGCTAGATATGGTATATATCAGTGGTGTATACATAAAATATTTTCGGGATGGGCTACTATGGACAAAATTAAATTACCACTGCTATCTAAGAATTATTAACAAGACACAGTAGGTAAGTACTTACTACATTTCATTTACAGAATGTCCAAAACGATTTGACGTTCAACGAAAATTTATAAGTGCAATTTGGGGAGGGGCTTGGGTGTGCTTAGCACCCCATTTTCGAAATTAGCACCCCCAAATGTGTTTAAGTTAATTTACATTTAAATACTCATTATGTATAGAAAAACAGTATTTTTATTGTATAAATATATACATTTTTTTATATATAGTTTTTTTTCACGCCTGGAAAAACTCTTAAGATTTAAAAAATAACTTATCTAAACTACCACCGTATGCCAATTTAAAATCTAAAAAAGGTCCTAGAAAAGACTTTTGGACCTGTATTTCTATCATAAGTGTTAAAAATATAAGATACAAACATCATTATAAAACCATTATATCCTTAGCTTCAGTCAGAATCTAAAAGTGATCATGTGATGAAACATTTATGTTTACAGACATGTAATTCGTTATACACGCAATAAAAATATATTTATTTTATAAAATTTGTTATTATTATTATTATTATTTATTCATAAAATCAAAATGAAAAATTTAAATTTCGAAATATTCATATATTTACCAAATATTTTATTAACTGTTGAATTGTACGGGTTGCGGGTGTCTATAACCATTAAGGAATTTGAAAAAGATAGAATGGTTTCAGCATCCCTAGTTTTTTCATTGAAATTACGAACCCTGCGCAAATTCTAAATAAATATAAAGCACCATTAAAATATTACAAACGTTTAAAATAATTTTTAAGTTTTTTAAAAAAATTCGGGGGGCTGTAGTCCACTATCCCCCTCCCTATATACGACACTGGTATATATATATATTATATATAGTATATTTAATGTAATGTGTATATAGTGATGTTAAATGTATATATATTCGGTGGAATCGATATATAAAAATATTCGGCGTCATCAATAGCTGGTGCAATCGATAGGTTTCTTACACGTAAAAAGATTTTTTCGGTGGAGTCGATATACGCCCACTTAAATGATAAAATATAATATCCATACTAAGGAAAAATGTTTTTACGAAATGTATGTATAAGAGAAAAATATAGCATACGGGTATTACGACGGCGTCCAAGAAAACATTTTTGACTTTACGAAAAAAATTTCTAGGGTCCCGTGATAAAATCTAGCAAATGTAAGCATACATTGCCATAGACTCATAAAAAGTCGACGGCTCTCAATGGCTGAATTATGTGTATGATAACATTATAAAATTATAAATTGTTAGTGTTTTTTTCAATCGAATTTATGAAATATAATATATTAATGTATAAACATATTTTGTTTTCATTTTTTATGTAGATTGGCTTAAGTATTTCGTAATCGGCCGTTTGGTCACCGCTCAGACAGGGTACATTTACTATCATGTTGAATAAATACGAAAAATTTTTTTGATTTTTAATATTATTAATTTTCAAATTTAAAACGGTTGTCAGCAAGTATTACATTTTAATAAACACAAAATCACAATCATTAATTGATCAAAATGGATTTGGAAATTGTTAAGGAAATTATCATTTTTATTCTGTATTTTCTATTGTTTTGAGAGGAATTTTAGGAGAGATTTAACTAAGGGAAAAACATTTTATAATACAATTACTATTTACTTACTATAAACACATCTATGCTATTCTATGCTATGCAATTTAGCATTGGCTATAAAAAAGTAGTGCTAATTATTATAAATACTTTACGTTTTATTTAATCAATGATACCATAGGAAACCAGACAGTAGACACGAGATGAGCACTCTTAGTAACCGACACCCATCAGTTATTAACATCACGGTGCAACTGTCTAATCGATCAATTATCGCACCTTAAACGTTACCTATTGTGTTGAATATTAGTGATGAATATGATGTACAGGGACGTATTTATGGAGGGAGTGGAGGCGAAAGGGCCCGGGCCCCTCCGAAATGAAAAACACCATTGTCAGTGCTCTACTTGAGGGGGGACGCAGGTGGATGGAGTACCTCAACTAATTTTCAGAAATTTTAGCGTCTCCCTACTACTATAACACTATAATCATAATGCTCAGCCAGTTTTGGGGACGTTCTTTTTTTTAAAGTAAATAGAGTCCCCCTTCTTTAATTTTGCCAAGTCAAGCACTGACCATTGTTAAAGATTATTATTTTTAACATGGATATGTCTTAATGCTGGGGGTTTCCGAAAATTTGTCGCGACACTGAAAATGTTGCTTATGTGATAATTTATAATTTTATGTTTATAAAATATGTTTAATCTTTTAAGAAAATATGGGGTGAATTTTGAGTGACTCTAGTAAAAAAATTGTTTATTACAATGTAGTTTTTATACTTTTAAAAAATAATAAATCATTAAAAAAATTGAGTTTCTTATTTCTCTGATGGTGTAAAGACAGTCGAGAAGTTTTATAGTGTTAAAGTAATTTTTTTCGTTATAGCTTGCTTCCTCCTTCCCTTCCACCCAAAAATCAAATACATAATCGGCCACCTCCGAAATGAAAACCTATATATGCCACTGATGCAGTGGCGAATTTAAGGAAAAAAGCCCAGGTGACATACGATTTAAATGACCCAAGAATTATGAATCGTCGTAAATACTAACTCGTGACTTCCCTCTTAAAATACAGTTAAACTAGATAGGTATTGAAACAAAAAAAATATATATATACATATATTTAAATCGTCCAAACTGAATATATTATTTCTAAATAACCTTATCAAAATTATCATTAAATTTAAACAAAAAAATTTATATTGTTAAACACATAGTATATTACTAATGTAAATCGGTAATTCAAGTAAAATTGTAAATTGTCATCTGGCTTCAGCAAATATTTTAATAGTTGTATCTAGATTTATTTTACTTACCACCGATCTTTTGATAAAAATATACTGAATTCATTGAAAGTTTTTTCACTTAAAGTGGCACAACGATGTTTTTTTTAAATTTTTTTTTAAAGAACTCATTACTCATTCAGCGCTTGCTGTACTAACAGGGAGTGTAAAAAATAATCTAAAAAGACTGCTAAACTTTGGAAAACTGTCTATCAAATGTTTATCAATGATAAATTTTAAGTTATTCAGTGAACTGTTGTTAATAAAATCGTTATTTTAAGAAAAATATAAATCAATAAAACTAATTAACTCATATTTCAGATCAGTTGTAAATAAATCAGCGTATTTCTCAATCAAAATACCAACACTGATATCTAAATCACCTTCTATTAGCTTTTGTAAATTTTCAGGCATCAAAAAACCAAAAAATTCTTATTACTGCATTTTGTATCGAAAACTTCATTGTTTATGTTTATCAAACGTTTCCAAAGAAGAATCAGTAGCTTTTTCACCAGCCATTTTCTTAATTCGCCGATTTCTCACTGTTGGAAAGTCCGCATGATCCAAACCCATTTTTTCCCAATTTGTTTTTGCTTTTGCCATGAAATGATTGCAAGATTTTTCATTTCTAGGATTTTTTAATTTTGTTAATTCTGTTGAAATACAATTTTTAGCCATTATCAAATAAATTTCTTCTTTTTTTTTTTGTAGTTCTAGTTGCCCAGAATTGATATATCAAAAAAAATTATATAAATTATTTAAATTATTAATCGTTTGATATATCAAGCATTGAATGCCACCATAACAAATTAAAAAAAAGTAATAAATTATTTGATAATAGTAATGTCTGAGCAGCCATAATATCATCTCCAGATGCTCCAACTCTTAATATCTCATTTTCTAGGCAGTCTACAATGCACTCGACATTTTGAATTAAGGCTTTCACAACTTTAAAACGTGCCGCCCCACGAGTTTTACTCAAACTTTTGAACATTTACGATGGGAAATCAATTTAATGATAGTCAAGTAAATTCCAGGATATTCATAATTTTTTAAATTCCCTCGATGACCACGCTTAAACCGGACAACGTTTTTACAGTATCGAAAAGAATATTCAAAATCGTTGTCCATTCTGTTCTATTTTAATTTTTTCGTTGAAATAAAAATTAGTGAATTGAAGACTGGGTCTGTGTCCCGAGGGTCTTTACGAGTAGAGGCCCAGGCGGCAAATGTCCATTTTTTTCCTGTTAAATCCGCCACTGCACTGATAACGTATAAGATAATAATAAATTCAAACGACAATCATATCATAAATACTACAGCCACATAAATAGGTGGTTATTTTGATATGAGCGATTAAACTTTTTTTTTGGGGGGGAGACTTCTTCTTGATAGTTAGGATTTAAATAATGGGCCATAAAGTGTTAAACACTGTCAATCTTAATTCGTGGTAACTACAATACGGTCTTTGAGGGATGCGGTTGCTGCTATAGGCCTCCTAAATTACGTGCCTGATATATTATAGCATAGATTATATATTACTAGTAATATATAACCAATGATTATAGATATTTATTGACAAGAAATGATAAGATTAATTGTACCTATATGGAGATTTTATTATTACTTGTCAGCCAATAGATTTTTGATTAGTATTAATTAAAATTTAATAAAACACGAAGAATTATAATTAATATAACGATACGACCCAGCCAGGTTTTTTAAATTTTTATGTTTTTTTATTTTTTTTAAGGCGACACCGGTTGTGGTTTACCGCCAAACGTGGTGTCAACGATATAACTAGTTGGTAGCACTGCGTTTGTTCCCTCCATTTTGTTTTATTCGTTTGCTCTCTTTTTCTCCTGTTGGCAACAAGCCGACAACAAACCCGGTTAGAGAGAGAGAGAGATAAATGACGTTCGCCATCCGCATCTTTTAGCGTCGGCCTCTGTGTGTGTGTTTAGCGTGTAAATAATAATAAATTCGTTACAATATTTTCCCGTGGCAAAAAATAAAAATAATTGCACACACGTAGGTAGTGTCTCACACTTATTCCGTCGGCCGTCACCAATATCTTGACGTAAGTGACTGCAACTGCGGCCCATCGTACCGACTTTCACATACGAATCGCGGCTTCCGCCGACATCTTAGCAAACTGGTAAGCATAAAATATTTCGTGTAGAATGCGATCGAAAATAAAATATAATATTAAAATAAATTATTGGCCGAAAGTTGGTTTGCCTCGTGCGCCCCGATCAATTACTGTTATTCTTAACTTATTCTTATCCTTTTGCCGTAGAAAAAATGTTTATACACAACTAATTTCATTGTGTTATAGGAAGACATGGCTCAACAACCAAATGCCAACGGCCGGTCTAATGGCCCCGGCCGAGATGACGATAAGAAACTCTTTGTAGGTGGACTTGGCAGAACCATCAGCGAAAAAGAATTGCGTGAATACTTTACCCAGTACGGTGAAATTGAAAATATTAATATCAAAACCGACCCATTCTCCGGACAGTCTAGAGGATTTGCATTTGTACAATTTGTGAATGCTAAGACTGTGGATGATTTGCTAGCTGCTGGAGATCATTTTATTGCCAATAAAAAAGTTGATCCAAAAAGGGTATGTTAGTCTGTATTTATATTATATTAATTAACAAATTTTTAGTAAATTAAACATTTTTTGTTACTCGAAAGTAACTTTAAAAGTTAAATATCTATTACACTAAAATTAATACATGACATTTATCATGCTTCCTTTTAAAATTATTTAATTTAAGTATATTGTATTATAGATTAATTTAATTCTAAAACTACTACAATTTATTTCAATTTAAATAATTAATTTTAAAATTGGACATTAATATAATTTTGAATAATCACTTATGGGGTTTTATTTTCATTATTTATAAATAATATTAATAATAATTAATAATATTTAACAAAATTATACCTTTTGATAATTTAATGCTAATTCTAAAACATTTTATTTTAAGTCATATTATTGATTAATAGTAAATTTGGTTGTATTTACTACAGTTTTCTTTATATTTTTTAGAAAATATATTTATATATGTTTCCTTTATGAAGTGTACTTAAGAAAACAATAGAATGATTCAACAAAAGAGTTTTATTCGGAAGAACATTCTTCTTAAATAGATCTAATAATATAATTATTTTTATAGATCTTCATTTTTAAATTGATAGAGAATAACTGATTATTTATTGAAATTCTTATCATTTCAGGTTACAAAGAAAGTAAATCCACTACGTTGTAAAATTTTTGTAGGTGGTTTAACATCTGAAATGACAGAACAAGATGTACGAAATTATTTTGTTCAATTTGGTCAAATATCTGAGTATCAACAACCATTTGATAAAATGAAAAATCAAAAAAAAGGTTTTTGTTTCATCACATTTGAAGATTCTGAAGTTGTTAATCAAGTTTTAAAAAATCCCAAACAAGTTATTAATGGCAAAGAAGTAGATGTTAAAAAAGTAAAGTTTAACCCTGAAACAATGACAGCTCCAGGAACACGAGCTGGTCCAATTGCTGCTAGAACTCCTGCTACTTTTGGCATGAGACCAGCATATCCTGGTTATATGACACCAACCACGGCATCACCCTATGGTACTGCTGCAGACTATGGTTATGCTGCTAATGCCTATGATGCATATGGAGCATATGGAGGTTATGACTATTCCGCAATTGGCTATGGCAGTGGTGGTTATTCAGCACAAGCTTATGGAGGTGGCAAATATCGAGAAGCCACATATCCTCGACATGCGCCATACTAAATGCAAGACGCAAGTATAACGTTTGACGAATAATCATGGCGGACACATTAAGACTGTGTTATAATTATTCATTTTACCATAATTTCTGTATAATATTAAATATTTACTACCGTAAAACCATAACACAATATTAAATGTTATATTATACAACAGTTTGTTATAATTTATAACAAAATGGTATGCCTAATTGAACAGGTCACATTTTAGGTCTACGTATGATGTAAATAAATGTTTATAATTTTTTGTACATCATCATCTTAGTAACCAAAAAATGGTACTTTAAAGTTAGGGACTACAACAGCAACTTCGATGTAAATTTTTTCCAATAGCATCTTTGACATTTTCTCTTAACTTTCGAGTTTCCTCAATACCTATGTTAAATATTTGTATTTTGTTGTTGATTAATTTTGTTTTAAGTCACTATATTTTTGGCGTCTACTTAGTCCATTCTGGCTTTGTGAATATTATTAAAATTTTATAAGTCCAAAGATTAAAAGTATTCCCACATTTTATGTTGAGTGTTACAGCTTGACTTTAAAAAAAAAAAAATTGTACATTTTTGTTTGATAACATATATACCATAAATATATATATATATATATATTTGAGTAAAAACAATTCCAATTATTTGATGTATATTCTTGTATTACCACATTTTTATGTTTTATATTCTCAAGACAAGTTTGAGGATAGAAATCAATTAATTTAAAGGTCTTGAGCATAACTAATGTGGTTTTTTCGGTGAAATGTCTGTTCAATAGGTTGTATTAGAATTAAGTTATATTTCATTTCTTTTCATATAATATACATATTTTATTCATTGTGTGATTTTTCCAAAATATAAAAAAAGTCCTTAATGAAAACAAATACATGAAGAATATGTTTTTTTTATATTTATATTTTTTTAAAATTAAATTTTTCATTTGTCTCATGGTCTAGTTACATTTATTTGTCAAACTTTTACCGTTTGTAAATAATGTGTTGTAAATTATTTTTTTATTTTTTTAAATTTTAGGTTATTCATTATCTCTGATAAATTAAATATTATGGAGATAGTAATTTATTGTTTCATTAAAAATGAATCAAGAAATATTTTATGACTTCTATATTGCTTATAATATTTAAGTAATGAAATGTGAACATGATTATTTCCTACATTGTACAACTTTAAATTACCTATTTGTACAATAGAATTACATTTTTTAGTTTATGGAAAACAATGTAATCTATAATTGTTTAAAATGTATGTTGTTGCGAGATTGGTTATGCAAATACAAATTGTCAAACAATATTTTGTTAGTTGTTTCAGAATCTAATCAAAAATATATTAATTTCTATTGAATTGAAAGGAATATACATGTGTAGTATAATTTATTATACTGATGTTGGATTTCATTTAATAATCCTTTTTACCTTTTCAGTAGCAAATTATACCAAATATTTGGTTCTGAAGTTGTGAGTCACCAAAATATTAGTTGAAAATTAATTAAATTATTGTATTATTTAAATATAAATTGCATATTAGTAAATTTATATTGTGTATATGTTTCAATTATAATTTTTATTTAATATATAAATGTATATTATTATTTTTTATATATAATTGGTGGTATTATGACACAATAGAAACTAAATAATACATTTAAATATATCATTAATGGATTTAAATTAGGTTGAAAATTAATTTATCAATTAAAAGTTTATCCTACTTATATAGATTGTATTTAAGTTGTAATACTGATATTCAAGGCTCGGAACTTCATGCACTATAAAATACTAAAATATGCATTAAAAAATAATAAACTGACTACTGATTAGTAGTGATTATATACACTGTACAATGAAGTCGCTTGTATGCAATACAACGAACAGAAATAATATTGTGTATAACCTAATAACCTAATGGTTAAACAAAATTGTTTAAGAATTTACCTATGGTTATACAATTTGTTTATATCATGTTACAAAATATTAATACTGTGGTAAATTTGTATAAAAATAAGTACTGGCCGGCGGTGGTCACTATTACGAGTTTTCAGTACTATAAAGGTTATAATATTATTGTTAAGTGCATTGGGAGCCGGAGCAATACAAATAATAGCCGTTGATGAATTAATTTATTTTGTCAAACGATATATAACTTAGAATTTTGGTTATCATATATCTAATATTTTATTATTAAACTACACATTTTTTTAAAAAATGTTGTTAAATCCATGAAATATACATAAAATGTTTTTAAACCCAAAATATGCGAATTGATACAATAAGTAACAAAATTATGCAAGAACAATTTTTATGTCTGAAATATATATACTATGAATCGAATTTGTATCGAATCAGAATTTCAATATACACTTTCTAGAGAAATATGCAAATGCCTAAAGTTCCGAGCCACGCTAATATTGTTTTAAATAGAATGAAACAGTGAGAAAGAATTTTGTTTTGTTTTTGTAATGACTACTATTAAATTAGGTATTGAGAGTACCATCAGGGCCAGATCTTAACATTTTAATCCCTTTCTGCATGCATTTTTATTTATGACTGGAAAAAAATTTTAAATTACAAGGTAAAGTTTATTGTGTGCCAAATATGACACACCATGCATAATAGTCAATAAATTAATTAAAAATTATTTCCGCAAGACATCAAAATATTTATTGGATCATTTAACCTGTAATGCTGAAAGAAATGTGTTAGGTATATAAAATAAATCATTATTACGTGTTATGAGTATTTGTTTTAAAATATATTAGGTTAAGTAAAAATGCATCATCAATCTCGTTGTTTATTAACTTAAAAAGAAAGTTGCTATAATTATTTATTCTATGTGTTTTTAGTGGTTTTAAGTGTAAAATATTTAACGCATATGAATCGAAGTACTTTATTTTGTATTTTCTCAAGTTGATTACTATGTACAATGATGTTATTTTCCCAAATTATAGGAGCATATTCGAGATTAGAGCGGATAAGTGACGAATATGGGCATTTGAAAGTGAATGGATCAATAAATTTTGAACAATTTCGTTTTATCATACCAAAAACTGATAGGGCTTTTTTTTTAATAGTTAATATATGTATGTTAAATAATAGTTTTGTATCGAAAGTTATTCCCAAGTCCTTTATCACATTTACATGTTCTATGCTGGTCTTTGAAATGGAATAATTATAGTTGAGTGTAATACACTTATTGGAATATGTTAAAATTTGACATTTATTGATGTTGGGTGAGAGGCCATTAGAAATGCATCACTCGTTAATGCAGTTTTTTGCATCGTCGGCGAATAAAAGATTATTTGAATGAGTGATGGAAGACACCACATCATTAATAAACAAGTTAAAAAGAAGAGGAGATAGATGATCTCATTGAGGAACTCCGGAAGTTATAGAAATTGATTCAAAAATTTTATACTTAATTATTTGTGTTCGTTCGCTTATAAATGAGTCAATCCATGACAGAAGAGGATTGGCGAAACCAATTTATTTAAGTTTTTGAGTTAATAATTTATGGTTGACACTATTGAAGGCTTTTTTGAAGTTAGTGTACATTACATCTGTTTGTTGACCTTTTGAGAAAGATTCAAGTATAGCATGTTTTATAGTTATTAGGTTAGTTACCGATGATTTATTAGTTTATTATTATTAACAATTTTTGAAAATACTTTAGGTAGGATAGATATTATTGAAATAGGGTGGTAATTTGAGACTAATGATTTATTACCTTTTTTGTTTATAGGGTTGATGCAGTGGCGCACACCTCATGGGTCAAGGGGGTCAGTCGACTCCCGAAAAAAATTTGGTGGTTAAAAATATTTGCAATTTTCTAAATGTTATTTCAATATCGAACACGTGAAACCTGATTGGACCTAGGTTCTTGGCTTAAGTGCTAAGTTCCACTACCTCAAGCTCCAAAATTACCTATATTGGAGTTGCTTTGCTAATGTTTTTGGGTAATGGGTGGGTGGTCGGTATTAATTTAATATGTTCGACCCACGTCGATAAGAATGAGTGTGCGCTACTGGATTGATGTAGGTAGATTTTCAAATGGATGGAAAACTACCATTTATTAAAGAATTATTAAAAAAGATATAAATCTACAATTAAATAGAAATAATAAAGATAAACCGTGAGGACCTATAGAATTATTGTAATCAAGAATATTTAACTCGTTGAAAACTTCAATGAGCTCAATGTGGAGTTTGTTAATAGAGTCGTTAGATTCAATTATTTTTTTTATAATCGTGTTAATTGGAATATTAGTATTTTTATATAACTACAAAAGAAAAATAATGATTAAACAAATCAACAATTTCTTGACCATTTTCAACTGTTATGTGATTGAGAGACATAGAATTTGCTAAGACGGGTGATGATTTGAGGTTTTTTATGAAAGACCAAAATTTTTTGGGTTGAGATTTAAGAGAATTTTTCGTAATAATTAAATAGCGGGAGTAATCTAGTTTACTAAGAGCTTTACATTGGAAGCGAGTTGAAAAAAATTTCAAGTAATCATTACTTTAGTTAGCATTTTGTAAATATGGTGATAGGTTTTTTTAAATTTTATTAATTTTATTTAATTCTTAGTAGACCATCTAGGAAATTTAGATTTAAATTTAGTTTTTTTAGGAATAAAAGTGTCTATAACAAAATATAGTTTGGCGTAAAATTCATTGATGATAAATATATTATATATATATATATGATATATAATAAATGATAAATATATCGTTACTAATTTTAAAAAGTTCTGATCAATCTATTGAACCTAGGTATGATAAGATGGCATTATAATTACCATTAGGCCAGTCATAAGATAATTCTGTATATGATAGAGAAAAAGGAGTATGTAATTGAGGAGTATAACCGATATTTAAAGGTGGATGTTACGTTATTGAGTGGCGTTTTATTTAAGTTGGGAAGATTGAAGTCACCCAAATGAAATAAATCATCGTTAGAATGGGATATAATTAAATTTTCGATAGTATTTTTTTTTATTATTAAGAAAAGAACATCTACAATCTATACAATTTTTTGTACAATAATTAGATTTGATAAAAAAAAGAATATAAAACTGACGGCAAATATTATGGTTGGGAAATTATCTATTGATAACACCCAGCACGTGCGTTGGTTATTGACTAATGATTGTTAATGTAGAAGGTCTCTACACCATTTTCTTTTTAGTCTTCGTCGAGAGTTATCGGGTTGTGTTTTAGATGATGATTTTTTTATTAGTGGGTTAGTGTGTGATTGGAGTTTACTATGAAAACTGGTGTAGTATGTTTTAGAGATTTGATTAAAGGTTTGTATTTTTAAATCTTTGTGGAGGTTAGAGTTTGTTATGTACCAAGGAGCAGGAGAAACTAAACGGAGACAGATGGATTGGAAGACTTGTATTGATCTGATGTTGGAGGGTTAGGTTTCGCCCCCCCCCCCCCATGGTCTCAACTCAAATACGCCTTTGTCCATTCTATAAGTACAACTAAAAAATTAATAGTTTAGTTAGGTACTAAAAATAACGCTTTAATTTTTTTTTTTATACTGTCTGTATAAAACAATTTTATACCATGTGTATAATACCTCATATGATATAGTTTTATACCACTGTATAATACAAACTCACATCACTATGCAGTAGATGCATTTTCAAAAATGAAAAATAGAAGATATCCTCTTACAGCTTAGATTAATTTAGAATTAAGTTAACCTTGTTTAGGTAATGTTTATACAATACAAAATTGTATTTTGTAAAAATACAATAAAAAATGATAGGTTAATGTTGATTTTATTAATTTTGCGTGGATTTTTTTTATGTCGCCCAGTGAAAATGTCTTAAAATATTCACTGGCTTTTATAACAAAAATACAAAATATTAAACCTCATTATAACATTTGTATTATATTTTCACTTGAAGTATTCGCAATGAATTATGTATTATTAAATTTATTTAAACATTAATGGAGGTATTTAACCTTAGATCATATACAATGGATGGAGTCATACAAATAATTTGTGAAGCCAACATAATAGTAGGACCGCAGTGATATGCGCATACGCGTGGCATCTTATCATTAATTTTTGGCCCAAATATTAATTAATTGATTATTGAACAAGATAACAATTAACTATAAAGTATAAGTGTTTGTTAAGTTTCTAATTGCATTATTATAATAATATAATTAATTATATTGTATTTGCTACGTCAAAATGATGATCAATAACAATGTTTCGTAAATTTAGAATTAGTGATGCCTAAATTCAATTTTAAGCCGAAAAACAGATTGACATTTGATAAGCATGCGCGCATGCGCAGATGTCACCGGTCCTATAGTTATGTTGACTTCAACTCATTCTATAGGTGTGATATGCGATGATTCTATCCATTGTATATGATCTAAGTATTTAACTATTTTAATTTAAATTTAGCAATATATAAAACTATTATAATAAAAATGATATTAAGGTTTTATCTATTTTATCACATTTTGATAGCTGCAAAAAAGGGGCTAAAAGTAGGCAAAATTATATACGGACACAACAAATTTTTTCCTGGGAAGATTCATTCGTATTTTGTATTACAATCAATTGATTACAGCTATGTTATCAGTGTTTTCATTATTAGTATTGATAAACGCACCGTGGAATGGGTTATATAAAAATTCAAAAATTTTATGTTTTCAAAATGCTGCTTGTGGACAATCTTTTTCATTTTTTTTTCACTTTCGTTGTCTATAAATATATATTAAACTAATCGAAAAAAAATCGAGAATGGCAGTTATACAAGACAACAAAAATGACAAAAATTTGTCTAACCACTTATTGCTTTTGAATAGAGTAGATATTAAAAATATACTAAATTTACCTCTAAAAGCCACTCAAAGAGTAAAAGTTAGTGATTAGTAATATTTATACAATTATATTCATATTTATAATCATACAATTTTTTCAGTACACTTGTTTTGAAGTATCCCAACATTTTATAATTTTTGGAGCTTCCAGTGGTGGATTATATGTATTTCGCAGACAACCTTGTGAATTTATACAACTACTTCCAAATAAAGTAAGGTTTAATATTGTTAAGATAGTAAAATTTGAATAAAATATGTAATTTATATTTTTTAAAATATTTCGTAACTGGAGTATATATTTCTATGGTTTGAAAAAAAATAATAAATAAATTGTTTTAATTATTTATCTATCAACAATTGTAAATCATAATATCTACAATTATATAATATACATATTAACATAGGCGTAAACTGGGGGGCAATTGCCCCCCCCTAGAAAAAATTAGGATGGGCAGTGCCCCCTCTGGTATTTAACATACCTTGTTTTAAAATAATTACAAAACAGCTGGTTATAGCTATTACCATAACATTTTTTTTTTAAATTTTAAATTTTCGCTTATTTAACATAATGTTAGAAAATGAATAATTTTATATAATAATATGTAGGTAGTAAAGCGGCATTTAGCTTCGGACACCCTTTTTGTTAGATATGTAATTATATTTTTTGCCCCCCCCCACCAATAAATTTCCAAATTACGCCTATGCATATTAATATAAATATGTAGTTTACTATTAAAAATGCACTTAAGAAATTGCATTTTACAATTTTTAATAATTATATCATAATTTATTAACTTAATATAAGACAATATTATACTTAATTCATATATATATATGTATATATACATGTATATGTTTTTATTGCCTAAATTTGTTATTGTTCATCTTATATCCAGTATAAAATATGTTAAAATCAAATCAAAAGTTAGTAAATAAATAAAAAATAAATTAAAAATCAAAAAATTAAAATAATTATAATAATCATCAACCTATTAAACTATAAATTAAATAATAATATATATCAAACTATTGTACCTTTTATATAAACAGGAAGGATCTGTAACCCAAGTTGCTGTGTCCAAAGATGAAGATCTTATTGCATTTGGTACTCAAAAAGGGATAGTGTGTATATTGCAGAGAAATGAAAATGGGGTGGGTGCAAAGCTGTTAAATAAGTCTACTGAACATTTAGGACGTGAAATTACTGCTATGGAATGGACTTCAAAACATCAATTATATTTTGGTGACTGTAATGGAAAAGTAACATCAATTTATGTAACACTATTTGTCGTGAGTAAAATGTATATTAACTAACTAAAAAAATAGTACTTTATCAAGCTCTTATAGCTTAATAGGTAAAAATTATATTTATTACATTTTAAAGTATATAGTTTAAAAAACTAGAATTTGCCTAATTTTCTACCTTACCTAATTTAGGATATGGAGCAGACAAAATTAGTTATTTTTGCATTCTAGATGAATTTATCAAATGTTAAACTATATAATAAAAAATGTAATCATCTTTTATATATTTTTCGAGAAATCAATTTTTCAATTAAAAAAATAATTTTGATTACAATTGCTGTTCATACCCGTTTAATTTATGAAGGCTTTTTAAGGCAATAATCAATAATATAAATTACATGTTTAAATGTTTCATTTAAAATCAATTATAATATATTTCTTATTTTTTGTCATATTCAATTTTAATTAATATTTTTTAGCGAAAAGCCATCTTTCAAACCCCACCATATACCATGATTGAGCTGGATTCAAAAGTAATTCAAATAGATAGCTCAGATGACTTACTAGTAATTTCAACTTTAACAAGATGCTATGTTTGTGATATGACAAAAGAACAATTTAAACAAATTGGACAAAAACCTAGAGATGGTGATTATGGCTGCTGTATTGTTGCATGGAATGAGAAGAAAATATTTTCAGCTCGACCTGGCTCAAGGATATGGGAAGTAGAATTAAATGGTATTGTAAGAAGTACACATCAACTGAAGTATTGTTTAGCTATTCCACCAACACTTAATATTTGTGCTCAAGAACCTTTGGATCTGTCTAGAACTTCTAGTAAAAATTGGCCACCTCAATCACTTAATTTTAAAAAATTGTATAAAATTTGGGAAAACTGTTTACTTACTTATACATCAAATGGTATATTTATACTGGATATGTTAAAAATTAATGTACTGTTGTGGTATGATGGATATAATGATATACAAAATGTCAAGTACATTGAAGATAGCGTATATATTTGGTCTAAGGGTGAACTGATTGTTGAAAAGATAATTCCTCTCCAGAACTTTTTGGTTAGATGTTATGAATGTGGAGATTATCTGAAGTGCATTACCTTAATTGAACATTATTTTGATAGAATAATGGGCACAAAATGTATCATTGATGAATTGTACCCTCTTATTGATATCGATAAAAAGATAGACTTGCCAGTCAATACAAACATTTTGATCTCAAAAATTAAAAAGACTAATTATTTAAAACAGCAATTTTTAAAGTTACCTTCTGGAATTTACTCTTTGAAAAATGATGTGTACGTTAAAAAAAACTATAGATTACGAAGAAGTTATAGTTTGTTTTCAATTAAACCTGATAAATTTATATTACGTTCTAAGTCAATGTTAAATATACATATAAATTTAGAAAAAATTAGAAAAACTCAAAACTATTCAGAAAATGATTATTCTAAACTAAATGATAAACACATTTTTGATCAGTTATATATGGAACTAAACATTCCTTCTATACCATTTGTGTCATTGGCAACTTCTGATGTTTTCCACGATACACTAATGGAAATAGGATCAAATGTTACTAATAAAATTGCAAAAAGTAGTAAAACTCTAAAAGATACGTTAAATAATTTAACTACTAGTACAGGTAAAAATTATTTGGTGCCTTATGAAGTAACAGATAGTATTTGGCGACCTGTTCCTCAACCTGTTAATGAAAATGAAGTAGATATTTCCAGTTATCAATTGGATCTTGAACATCGTGAAAAACTTAATTTACTTCCTATTTTGAATATTTGTAAAAAACTTCAAAATGGATATGAATTAGATGTTGATTGTTTACAAGAGTTAGTTATTGGTGTATTGGAAGTAAAATCCAATCTAGAAAATGTTTTACACATAACACAAACAAGATTTCCATTTCATCAGTATTTAAAAGAAAAACATTTAAATACCATTCAAAAAGCAGTAAATGACAGTTTTTCTAACAATTTAGTAATTAAATGGGCTGATATATACGCTGAAGATATTTTGACTATTGATAAATTTGATTATCCAGAATTCTTTACATACTTTTTAGCTGAAAGTGATTTTAAAAGAGATATGAAACTTAGTGAATTTATTACATTATTTGTTCAAATTATAGAAATTGGCAGTATATTTGATTTTTTACAGAATAATAGCTTGAAATGTTCATATGCAATATTTTGTAAGATCTTAAAAATGGACTCTAATAACGATGGAAAAACTGAAGTACCATTATTAATGTACTTAAATTCAATGTATGTATTTTTGAAATTAGATCAAATTGAATCATTTCGTATACTTGGGTACAAAAGAAGTATTAAACCAATATTTGTTTTTTATTTATTAATGAAGTTTTCTCAATTGAAGTTGAGTGATCATGTAAAATGCCATAATATTTTTTTAAATTATTTATCACACTTTGGTGGAAGTCTTTTTGATGATTGCAGTGTTCTTTATTATACTATTTATAGTTTTGCTGTAATAAACAACACGGCTAATATTTTATGTAACTGTGGATTTCCTTTGGGAAATATTGATGGTAAATTTAAAAAGCTAGGGAAAATACTTATTGATTATTTATCTACAGCCGATAAAAATTTGGAGCAGTTGCATATAATTTTACATAAATTTGAAACATGTAATTTCACCACTAATACTCTAGAAGATATGATTAAATGTCTTTGCAAACAAGTACCTCATTTTTGGTCTATTGTTTTAGAATCTGATTTAAAATTAAATAGCTCCAAGTATATAAAAGTTATTCTTTCTATTCATTTGGGTTTGGTAGATCAATTGAATATTCATTTGAATAACAAGAGTGAAATGTTATTTGATAAAATATTTATATTAAATCATTATTTCAAGAATGGCTTGTGTTTAAATTGTGGTAACATTGGAGAAAAAAATCAAGGAATTACATGGACCGATTTAACTGCTTTAGCATTTCAATATCTCAGTTTAGGAGAAATAAAACATTTGCTACATAAACATAGGAATAATATACCGCGTGGAGATATTGACACTTGGTAATTATTAATTAAAAAAACAATTAATGTTTTTAGTTTTATCAAATTTTATTTTTTAATAATAACTAATTTTAATGCATTAGGTTTTACCAAAGCTTCATTTTGACACAATTAGTGGGTGTAACCTTGAAGAATCCTTTGATACAAATGTTAAAACATGATAATAATATATCAGTAGTGAACATAAAGGTAAGAATACATCATTTTAAAACAAACTAATAAATTTAATTTTATTACATTTTAATTAGTTTTTTTAATATTAGAGTTACAAGAATATCTTGACTGCTTTGGAAGAAGATATGAGTCCAACTATTCAATTTAAAAATCTATATTCTAAAAAATCACACTGGGGTATAAGAATTGATGTGAAAAGTGGTTATTGTATTTGGTGCTCATTACCATTGAATTCTGATCCATTAATTCGTGGTAAAAATAATGGACTCGTATCATTTAAATGTGGACACTCTTTTCATACTGTATGCATTCGCCAACAAATAGATAATATCCAATGTGCATTTTGTCAAAGAAAATAAATTTAAAATATGTAAAATGAAATACCACAGTAAGATATAATTATTTTTAAAATAAGCTGTAATTAATAATAATAACAAATTTAAATAATTTATTTAAAATTGTTGAAATATTAAGTTATGAAAAAAATTATGCTACTTGCTACATAATACCACCAATTCCATCTTATTTAAATTAATAAATAATAATTTTTGTTATATTGTAATATTATATCAATTGTTATGTCATTGAATGATGTTGATTTGTGATTCAATTTGTTTGATATTTGATTAAATTTTATTTGTTATTTATACTTGTTTGTTTATGTAAACATTAACCTGAATTCAGCCATTTGTTAAAACACTTGTAGTAATTTGATTAAAACTGTGTGTAACATACTAAATGAAGGATATTAGTTACAACTTAAATGTCACCGTAAGACTTGTGATGGTAACATTAAAAAATGGATTCTTTTTTTTTTTCTTATCAAAGGTAATTTATGTTTTATTATATTAATATATAGATACTTATATTTAACTAAAATATCCACTAATTACTTTCCAAAAGTTCATAATAATTTTTATTCAGTAGGTTCTATTTTTAATTTAATCTAGTAAAGAAATAATTTCAAATAATACATGTTTTATATGTATTTTTTTTAAATATACTAAAAATCTTATAATACTTAATCATATTGATTAGTTATTGGTAATAACAATTTAAATTCACATGTAAAATTTATATTACTTCATGATTCTTTTAGTGTTTTAATTTAATATATATATATATATATATATATTAATTGATCATATAATTTAGTTATTTAGGTATGGTCAATTATACCGTTATAACTTATATTAGCTTCACAATTAAACATATCTTGATTTTAAATTTAAATTCTTAAAACATAAACACATTTCATAAAAAATAAATTTTAATTAAAAAATTATAATAAATGCTACTTTTATCTTATAACATTTAAATTAAGCTATAAGTTGTAATCATACACAGTTGAATGTTATGTGAGCGATTATTCTTGCGAGGAATGCCGGACAGACTGTCAGATCGGTATGTGTATGAACGGAATGGAAACAGTGGCGCCTACTTAGAGTACCAAGTGGTGCAATTGCACTGATTTCTCATGAGTCCCGGGGGCCAACATACATTTGAGAGCCCTATTCTGGTCTCTGGAGCAAACACTATAAATGCATAACTATTTATCTGGATCTTTAGATTGTTGAATAAAATGTAAAGTCGGCATTGCTAAATAGGTATGCAAAAAAATATAAATATATCATAACTAATATAGATAGGTAACTATAAAAAATGTTGATTATGTTTTTAGTTAGTGACAGGGCTCAGGAAGCCACCCCAAGATTTATATGCTATGTTAATATGTTATGTAACTACTATATAGAAATAAATTATGATGAATTAATAGATATAATTTGTAATACGAGTCAACACATATTTAATACCTTAAATTAAATCACTGATAAAAATTATTATGTATGTTGTAGTATTATCTTAAAAATTTTAAATAATTAAGTTTTTGATTTTGAAAAACTGCCCTAAGAAATACCAACCAGTGAAGGTAAACATGCATTTGAAAATACATTTAGAAAAAAAATTATTTCAATCAAACGAATATGGTCATATGGATGTAGACCAAAGTAAATTTGGGGCTTTATAATTATAACTGCATTGGTTTATGGAAAACCTGTGGGCGCCACTAAATGAGTACGTTCAAATGTGAAATAACTAAATTAAAACAAATAATAAAATATTTTGCGAAACGGTATGGTACTGTGTATGACTAGTATGAATCATGTTTAACACGTAATTTGAGAGCACAAATTATTTTTCTATGCAAAGTAAAAATGTAGACTTATGGTCGCTGGGGGTGCTTGAAGCCGTTGTATTTTTATTTGGCCTAAGTAAAATTGTAGAAATTCAGCGCTACTGTACTTACCTATTGGTTGAAGATGTAAGTGAACACATAACTTGTAAAAGTGTATCGTTATAAGATGATTTTTAACTATTAATAGATACATCCATAAAGGCCTATGAGTTTACCTTGTGCTAATTAAATAATAGTATTTAATTATTATTATATTTTTAGTTTTTATTGATAACTAATTTTGTACCTACCCATTCAAACTGTAAATTTTAATATTAATAATATTATATTTTCTTTAGTCTATATTATTCTACTAAAAATTGAAATTAATTATTAGACAGTAATGTAGTGTTTAGTAACAAAAAAAAAAAAAAATAATAATAGCTCGTACCTTAGATAAAATACGAAAATTTTTTTTGAAAATGAAGGAGAATTAACATTGGTCAGTTATTTTTTAGTTTTTCAGTTTTGTGTTGGTAACTTTCCTCAACCCTTTATAAAAATGATTATATGGTTGCAGTGTCGGTCCGATGGTTTGTGGGGCCCTATATATATTAATGTATTAATGGTTTAAATAAATATATATTTATTTATTTTATTATATAACTAAATATATACTATAATTATATTTTGAACCGCCATCGGCGATAAAAAATTTTACATTCAAGTACATGCGTGTAAAATACTGCATAGCTATATATAATTAGTACCGTCCTAATTTTCGTCGATAACAACCCTTTAACTCTTTTCCTGAGAAAATCTAATCTAACCCACATGGGTCGCAATTTGCGTACTACTTGGACTATATTATTTTTATTTATAGATAAAGTGATATTCGTAATACCTACATAATTTGTGGGGCCCTATATAACCTATATAAGCGCGGGGTCTGGTGCAGTTGCACCACTGTACATCCCCCCACCTAGGACCGGCGCTGTATGGTTGTATAATACACATCTTAAACGGATTTGACTGATATTATTAGAATAATCTGTTTGTTCATGACATATAGTAATAAAAATATTGGAACCGGTCCAATGTAATTTACCAATAAATGGCTGGTTCAATGTGTGATCTACCGACTACATTTTTATGCTTGTTATATTCCTACTGCAAAAGTATTTTTTAAGTCTGATAAAAAAAATCATCAAATATTTGAGTTTTTATCGGGTGGTATCACCTTTATTCTTTAAGTTGGCGGTATAATAGTGGAGATGCACCGTTAACTTTTATATTATATTTGGAATTAACTAACTTCCACAATAACTCAACTTTTTAAGCGTAAGCTCCAGTATTTGGATCCACAAATTTATCTGTAGGTATGGTTTACAGTTTGATGAATAAATCCATGGTCCTTCGGAGAACTATATACTCGCCACCAGTGGCGTAGTTGAGAATGTTTCATGGGGGGGGGGGGGGAATCAAAATAAATTTGTATGGCAAACTTGTGGGGGCAATGCTTGTGAAATTCAGTATCACAATTTAGTCTGATATTTTTTAATACAATGATAATATCTTCAGCAAGGCTTACTGCTTCTCTTAAATCAATTTTTTCTTTTTGTAGCAACTTACACAATGGTAATCCAAAAAAAAAACCAATTGGAAAAATATTTTATTATAAAATAAAATAAATTATATTTATTAATTACTATTTAGTTATATAACTTGTAAGGATACAAGAAATTCTGAATCAATAGTTTTTAATAGTATATTAGCATACGTTGCAGTGGAATCATTCCAATTAGAAATATTTTCTGTACCTATGATTCAACTACGAATGCAAATAGTTCATTGAAATCTGTTACCGCATCATAATGCTGCACCCATCGTGTAGCACACAATCTTTTTAAAGTTTTAACCTTAGGATCCTCATTACTATTTTCAATGTTGGTTAAAAGAACATTTTGACAATTTGGTATATTAAAGAAAATATAAACTTTTACGGATAAATATTTATAACAGGATTTTTTTTTTTTAGTTTCGTAATAATTTAAAAGTTTGTATTTGAGCTATTTGTAGGTTTAAGACAATATATAAATACAGCTCATGGGAGGGGATCTATCCCCCATATCCCCCCCTGTAATTACGCCCCTGCTCGCCACTGATCGATGTGAATCGTACCAATTTCTACCTCTGTTTTTATTATTAGTAAGAACATTTGACGATCTCTCTTTTCTACATTGAAAAATCAACATTCAGTTTTTTTGTAATTATTACAACACAAACCAAATACCCATGGTCCCTGTATTCTATTTCCGTAATTTTTTCGGGTATTTTCTACCGGAGTTTCAATTTTATAATTTGAAGTTTCATCGTTATCTTCATGTCAAGAGCGTATTTGAGAGGGGAGAAGGGGACATTCGCCCCCCAGTGGCGCCGAACTAATTTTTTTTATGTGTGGCAATTTTCATTAATTGATACCCACCTATCTTTACACGGTATGAAACCTAAGCCGTGATAGCAGAGCCTCTCACACCCCCTGGTCAATTCCGATTTTTTAAACACAAAATATTATTTTCACAAATAAATTGTATTATTTATTGAATTTTTGCATTATTTAATATTTTAATATATATATATATATATATAAGTACTTTAATTTTTAATTAGCATAGAAATTAATTATATAATAAACGATCATCAGAAAAGGATATTGACAATAAATCTGATTTATATTTTATATTTTTATTAAGATCATATTATGTAGACATGCAGTTAGAGATGCATTGAGAGTTTCATGCACTAATAGAAACTATTAACATAAATAATATCATAATTAATTAATAAATATAATATGTTTATTGCTTACTGCATCCTGTTTACCTACTTATTTGATTAACACAATATTTTTTTAGCACTGAACTTAATGATGTTTTTTTTTTTTATTTAAGGCCTTTGAGACCATCTTGCCATAGAACAAATCCTTTCCCATTCTTCTCTATTCTCCGCTACTTCCTTCCAGTCCCTGTGATCACATTCCGCTCCGCCAGCACTTAGGAAATCTTTTTTAATTCCATCTTCCCAGCGTAGCCTTGGTCTACCCAGTGGTCTTTTTCTCTTTGGGTTTTCTTGGAGTACCCTTTGAACCATTGAATCTTGCTTCCTAACTGCGTGTCCTGCCCATTCCAACTTACTCCGTTTGATCTCGTTTATAATATTTGGTCTATTGAAAAGCTCCGTCAGTTCTTGATTATGTCTTTTTCTCCATCCTTGAAGCTCTTGATCATAATAGGTCCATATATTTTACGAAGTACCTTCCTCTCAAAAACTGCTAATCTTTCCTCCTCAGTCTTTCGTAACGTCCAACATTGTGAACCATACATGACTATTGGTCGTATGATTGTCAAATACAGCTGAGTTTTAACCTCTTTTGACATGACTTTCGAGCTTAGTAGTTTGCCTAGTGCATAGAAGCATTTATTTCCCATTTTTATTCTTTGTTGAATTTAAATTTGACATTCATTCTTCTGCGTTACAATCGTGCCCAGGTATTTAAAATCTTCTACTCTTTTGAACTCGTACTGACCAACTGTTATGGTTTCGGTTTCCTGAAGGTTATCTAGTTCCCTACTAACTTTCATGTACTGCGTTT